TCTATTTAACACATTTTAAATACTATCTTCTTTTCTATTGCAGACGGTGCTGTCTTTGAAACTTTGTGATGTTCAATTAGCATTTAGAAGTCTTTCCGATGAAAGTTATACGAATATTCTAATATAAATTTTATAATAAAAATTTTAAAAAATTTTTAATTATAACATTCTACTTTATTCTCCTCTTTCTCTTCGTGAACGTGCGGGTGGGACCGCGAGCGATAACGGGTGGGGTGGGGCCCGTGCGCAACGGTGGCGAACGTGGCGGCGGCGGCGGCGGCGGCGGCGGCGGCGGCGGCGGCGAACGCGAGCGCGGTTTCCCTTTCCCCGCGATACCCGCATCGCCAACGCGATATCCGTCTTCCCCGCGCATCCCGCATCTACGACGCGGTTCCCCCGTCCCCGCGGACCTCGGACCCACGACGCGGTTCCCCCGTCCCCGCGCATCCCGCACCTAAACGCGGTTCCCCCGTCCCCGCGGACCCCGGACCCACGACGCGGTTCCCCCGTCCCCGCGCATCCCGCACCCACGTCCCCGCGGTCAGGCCAGCTGATCGAGCGGCTTTCCGCGGCTTTCTCTTCCCAGGGGACCCCGCATCAGACCGTGAACGTTCTGAGCGGTTTCCCCCTCCCCGCGGCTTCCCCCGCGGACCCCCCGCGGACCCCCTGCCCCTCACCCCCCCTCGGAGCTCCCGGGGCAGAACCCGCCTATAATAGCTACTAACAACCAAATATTCCTAACCTCGCACCATTGCCAAATGGCCTTAGAAAGAATTGACAAGGAAGGATATTTAATCGAACCAAAACGATTAATATAAGCTATTGCCGTAGTATTTTTGATACGTAGCAAAATCTCACAGTCATGCCTATCAGAAGCAAAACATTTTAACGCATAAAACGCGGCCTTGAGCTCTAAGACATTAATGTGAAGAGCTTTTTCTTCATCAGACCACCAGCCATGAGTTCGGTCTAAAGAAGAGGATGCACCCCAGCCAGTGAGCGAGACATCGGACAAAATTTCACATGCAAAACGTCCCGATAGAATACAATTTGATTGATTCGGGTTGATCAAGGTAATTATACCATCATCGAAAGTCTTCCTCAAGCTCCGAGGAAATAATCATTTTAGCTTTATAATTACCATTCGATCTTTCAAGGACAAGGAACTTTTGCCTCTCAAAAGCTTTGGTGTAAAGCAAGTCATATTTTACCGCTGGGCAAACGGAGACAAGAGAACCAATCAAACTTGCGAATTCTTTGATTGAACAGAAAGTCTTTTTTGAAAAATCTGAAACCAGAGAACATAATTTAATCCGACGAGAATCTGGAATCGAGATTGATTGGGACTCAGAATCAAAAATGAAACCAAGATATTTCCGTCTTCGTGCAGGTTGTAGCTCAGACTTTGCAAAATTAATAATAAATCCCAGAACTGAGAGAGTACTAATATGTGCCTGAATGTTA